ACCTGGCTAATTGGTTCCACTATTGTACAATATTCAGTTGATGAAGTAGCTTGTTCCTTAATTTTTTTTTTCTTACATTTTCTCTTCTCCTAATGAATCTTCAGCCTTACATTAGATATGCCTTTAGGCCTGTACATTAGTGAGCCTTTTAATTTTTTTTCCACAATTGTATTTGAAACAAACCTATGATTCTTCTTGCCATCTAGTATCAAGTCAATATTTTCAGCCATGTTAGTCTAACATTTACTATTATGTTTTCTCATTCCCTTATGCTTGTGTGCTAACTTGGTATGTGAATATGCTAAAATAAATTCATAATATTATACATCCTAAGACATGAGATGGGACAACTTTATTTGCCATATATATAAATGTTCGGCCAGCATAAATGTCTTTTCTAGCTCTAGTTGACCATCTCAGAAGTAGGTATTTCAGAGGAATATTAACTATATCTAATTATCTTATTACTCTAATGCAGTGATAATATAGTAACCCTATAATGTTGAACTTTCCACAGCTGCATTCAATGGCACCCTCATTTGCATCAAAATGAATAGTCCAATGGATTGATCAATCTTGTCAACAGTTTTGATGAAAAATATTGATGAGTTGCTTGAGACATGAGCTATGCACATTCCACCCACACTCTATAAAAATTCCTCCTCAAAGAATGAATAAAATTTTTGTGAATAAAATCGAGTAGCTTGCTTGAGTATTGGAATACTTTTAAATAAAGTTATATTATCGGACTGGCTGCATTTGAAATCTTCATCATGTTCATTCTGACACCATGTCTTCATCACCTTCTCTAACCCCAAAAAATAATTATTTATACTTCTTGTTGGCTTATAAATGTCTTGGTACACCATGTTAGTGGATTCACTATGCTGTGTTAAAAGAATACCAAGGTTAAAATAACTCTTGTTAAATGCTATGGACCATTTCTTCCTTATTTTGTAAAGTTTGTTCAAACAGTCTTGGTTGTGGAGGTCCCCTTCATTGATCATTTCAGCCCAAGTACTGTGAAACTCCTCCTCAGAATCACACTTGCTTTAAAATATATAAAAGAGGCCTATAACTTTATTATTGCTATTGAAGCACCACACCTTGAATGATACCTTATTGTTGATGTGCCATTGGCACAAGCTATGGCATGTTTGAGGTAATGAAATTTCCATTGCTTGAGCCATTGCTTGGTTCTGATCAGTAAATATTATAATGGGATGATTATTACCCATTATTCACAAAAATATTCTAAACAACCATGTAAATGATTCAATTGTTACCTCTGATAAAAATGCCACCCCTAAAAGAATATTCTAACAATGCTTATTAACTCTAACAAAAGGTGCACATGCTAGATTATATTTGTTAAGTCTATAGCTAATATAAAAAATTATCACATCTCCAAAGAAGCCGTAATCTATTCTCCCCACCCCATCAATCCAAAAAAAAAAAAAATTCAACAATATATCTTCTTCATTAGTTTGGACGTCCCATGCAAAAAACCTATTATCATTAATTAGTTGATCTATGAAAAGTTTAATTAGGGAATTAGTGCCCCCATTCTCAATCTTAGCTATTTTCTCTTTTTGAATATAATTATATGCATCTATTTTAGAGAATCCTACATTTTCTCTTCCTCCAACTTCATCAACTAGGTATGTAAATGCATCAATGGTTCTTATCCCAGCTTCTGTCATTGATTTAAGTACATATACTTTCTCATCACTAATATTCCTATATTATCTAAGAAACTGTTGATCTTCACGCCTAGGAAATTCATGATTGTGGCTCTCTATGCATTTTTGCACCATCTATACTCCATCTAGGTCGACTAAAAATCTAATCATCACAGGACACTCGGTCCTAGTATTGGATTTTCTATATTTTGATTTGGATTTTAAGTCGATTCCCTTCTTACATCCAGCTTTCGAACATACAAAATCATTGAATCTTATATTTCTTGAATTAGGCCAATAACTATGATGTTCTTTACAAACACTAAAACCAATATTATGAGCATAATGGCAGCACATGTCATATGCTTCTTTCTCCTTATTACAAATAACCTGTGAACAAGAAAAACTAATTAAACACTTTGATTTTAATATTATAAAATAACTATACCCACCAGTAGGTAGCTTTGGTACCTAGCAATACCTAGGAGTACCGAGCAGTACAAAGCAGCGACAAATGAGCGAGATTACACAACCAAAAAACATTTCAACCTTCAAAGTAAGGTTTCACATGTTTAAGGAGATTTTATAAAAAATAAAGAGTAAAACCTGTGAGTATTATATTTACCGATAATATCTCTAATTTATCTTTGGTTGTTTGCTGCAGTACTTCCTCTTTAGTTTGTTGGGTCTCTTACATAATACCTTCCATATATGCACAATATTTGAAGTCCTCGCGACCAATTTCCATCTTCATAGCTTCCTCTCTTCTCTTTTTCCCCTTTCTCATTTTTGTACCAAGGAGAAAACCTATCTTAAGTGAGGAAAAAAGCTCGTACCATCTACAAAAATCCTTGGTATTATTGCATTTTTTTTTCAATTTTTCACTAATAGGGCCAATCGGGTCATCAGGCTGCACAATAATTGGAAAAAATGTGGTAAATAGAATGGTGGGGTCTACATGGCACGATTTTATATGACTTCGAACATAGAGTTACGTCTGGAGTCCGCACCCAATAAAAATTCCTTTCATAGACACCTTGGAGAGAACATCTGTAACTTTTAAGCTCTACCAAATCTTACTCCGACAATGCCTCGTAACTATGAATTGTGATGAGCTCCCCTATAACAATTGATTACTCCACTTGTTGGTTTTTTTAATCTATCTATTATATATACAAATATTAGATTAAAAAAAGAGTATATTTGATTTTGTTGAGATTGGCTTTTTTACTATTAATTTAGATTTCATTTGGGATGACTTTCTTACTGCTTCTTAAAGAAGCTTTTTAGTACAAAAATTAAAATTTTTGTACTAGAAAGCTACGTTGAGCAGCAGTAAAAAAGCCGTCCCAAACGAAGAGTTAGTCTTGTTGTCTAGCCTAAACATGTCTTAGAAACCTACTATTTATATTTTTTTCGACAAGTAGGCAGGCCTAATGGCCTGCAAATGACCCTTACATGGGGGAGTTGAGATGATAATTAGCACATATTGATCCCTTCGATCATAGAACATTCATTCATCATCTAAATACCTTAATGGTGTTAGAATTGAGCGAACTTAGGCTTGTTGGATTCTCCTCATCGAAGCGCTTGATTTGACTATCATTATGTCATATTTAGAGATCATTTGATTATCAAATAAGTGTCTTAAAACTTCCAAATATGCTTCAGGTCATTGATTTGGGCCCAATTTGGTTCTGATTGGACCAATTTTTATGTTGTTGGATTTATCTCATCGAGACGTTTAGTTTGGTTATAACTTTGCTAAAATTGAAATTCAAATGGTCCCAAAATTTAATCTTAGAAACTTCCAACTTGAATATGTCTTGAGAATTGTGACTAATCAAGACAATTTTTGGTGACGTATCAGCTCTCCTCAACATAAACTAGTCCCCCAAAAGAGCATCAGTATGCTCCTCATCGGCCAATTAGTAGAATGCCTAGCAAGTACTTTTTTTTTCATCGCATAGCGATTCTAGCCTTGTTGGTTTTAGTTCTAATCCGTCTCCTAACAGATGGCAGACAGATTCAGGGACTGACATTATTGAGCTTCGGCTCGTAACCTTCTTTATAAATTAAAAGTCCTGATTAGCATTAATGTTAACTTCTAGAAGCGAACAATGCGACGCCTTGGCTGGTCTTTATTCAGCTTTGAAGTATTCAATCTTTAATTTTCAGTTGTGTTTTAGAGGGGAAATTGCTTCAAGTTCTCTTATATTTTACCCTATATTAAAAATAAATATCTATATGTAACTCAATTTGGTCATTAGTTGGTTACGAGCTTTAGCTATTTTGAGTCTTGTGCATGTGATGTATGTATGAATTTGCCTTAATTGTAATAAATATCTCAAATATATATATATATATATATATATATATATATATTATATATATATATATATTATATATATATATATATTATATTCAATTTATAATATATTAGTAACATCATTAGAAACTAAATGAAAATAGGTAAAGGGCTTATCCTAAGTTTAGGGGAAATTATTAGGGTCCAGTCACCGGACGTAGAGACGTCGCGGACACCAAAATAAATATTGACATTGTGGAATGTACTCTGTCCGCGGAATTTAAGTCAGCGCGATCAAAAGCGTAGGTAAGCGCAATGTAAAGCGTAGGTAAAGCGCATGTAAGCGTAGGTAAGTCAGTTAAAGCACAATCAAAGAGCGCAGTCAAAGCGCAATAAACGTAGTCAACGCGCAAATAAAAGCGTAGTCAAAGCGCAGTTAAAGCAACGTGATAAGTTTTAATTGGGTGACCAGACTTATAATTTTTCAAGTTTAGGGGGGGGCTAAATCTACTATAATATGTAATTATAAAAAAATTTAAAAATAATCTCGTTTATTTGTTTTAAATAATTATATATAATTTTATCTTAAATTTAAAGAGATAAAAACCAAAAATATTTGTCCTAATTCCACTCCTCAAATAATTTAATCACCTAAACTAAATTCATAAAAGTAGGATCAATGAGTTATTATACCAAGATTTTATTTGGCTATTGGTCTTTTGTAAATTTTTTGTGTTAGAAAACAACTTTTATTAGTAGCTTAAAAAAATTTATTTTATCCATATTAATTTTACAATCATCTTTATACAAAATAACGCTCATCCCAAATTAAACTTTATTATTTATATAAAAAAAATGCTTTATTTACATTAGAAATTAGAAATTGTTGATATCAGGATATAAGATTAAAACAATATCTTAATGAATCTCGTTTTTTTTTTTTAAATTAAATTTTAAGATAAATAAAATATTAAATATCTAAATACTATATTCATCTTAAAACACCTTTAAATACCATAAAATGATTATACTGATTATAGAATCTGTTTTCCATTTATCATTATTAAATAAGCCGAAGTCCTTCAACCTAAAATATGGCCTTATTATAGTTGTTGTGCGCCATTGAATTTTTACCTCGTTTTGCAGGAAAGTTAGCCGGTGCTGTCTTTTTTACTACTGACATCGAAGATGGGCAGCCGTTGGATTGGTAAGACCCCCTCGTAGGATTCATGAAAACTAGCCGTTGTAAAGCCCGAAAACGTTATTCTAATTTTTATTACAGTCCAGCCATCAATGTGCTCTGTGAAAAAAAAGGAGCCAAACAAACAAACTAGCCGTTGGCTGCAGATGGATTGAAGAGGTGAAAAGAAATAAAATCGATTTATTCAGTCACAAAACAATCCCAACATCTAAATTTATTGAACCACTCTGCGTCTCCCTCCATTCTCTTTCAGAGGTAGTCGTCCTCCTTCCCGTCTCTCCATGTTGAGTAAAAGTTCCAGCGATCACCTGGCCAGGAAGAAGGCCGAGCTACTTCGACGTAACCACTTGCTCCTATTCATCCAAATCGCAGTTTTTCTACTCATCATTCCCTTGTCGAACCCATCTTGGGATGGAGTCATCATCACCCAAGAAGACTACGAAGGTTTGCAGGCCTTTAAGCACGCCATTGACGACCTCCGAGGCCTCCTGCGGAGCTGGAACGGCACTGGCCTCGGCGCATGCTCTGGCGCGTGGGTTGGGATCAAGTGTGTCCGCGGCAAGGTTATTGCTATCCAACTCCCATGGCGAGGCCTTGGCGGCCACATTACAGAGAAGATAGGACAGCTCAACGCCCTGCGCAAGCTTAGCCTCCATGACAACGTTATCAGTGGCCAGATTCCCGCTGCGTTCAGCTTCCTTCGTGAACTCAGGGGAGTTTATCTCTTCAACAATAGGTTCTCGGGCGCCATTCCACCATCTATTGGAAGTTGCATTGCGCTTCAAACGCTCGATCTCAGCAACAATTTGTTAACCGGGATCATCCCTTCTTCGTTATCGAATGCTTCCAGGCTTTATAGGCTTAATCTTAGCTTCAACAACTTGACTGGTTCGATTCCAGATGGAGTTACGCGATTGCCATCTCTTACATACCTTCTTCTCCAGAACAATAATCTTTCTGGTAATATTCCTAAAACTTGGGAAGCGTATCAGCTGAGAACCCTAAATCTCGAACATAACACCATTTCCGGCGACATTCCTAAGTCTCTGGGTGGCTTAGTTTTGCTGCGTGAAGTGATTTTGAGTAATAATATGTTGAATGGAAGCTTTCCGCTGCCCATGTGCAACCTCTCCTCCTTAATCCAGCTTAACCTTGAGAACAACCATATTGGGAGTAAGCTTCCAGCTTTCATATATGGGCTCAAGAACCTTTCTATCCTTAACTTGAAAATGAATATGTTTGATGGCGAGATCCCGGAAACTTTAGGTAATATTTCCGGCCTTTTCCGGCTGGATTTGTCTGATAACAACCTCACCGGGAGGATTCCTTCCTCGCTCAAGCATCTGGTGAATCTCACCTTTTTCAATGTCTCAGATAACAATCTTTCTGGCCGAGTTCCTCTCTTTCTGACCAAAATGTTTAATTCAAGCTCTTTCTTAGGAAACATCCAGCTCTGTGGGTATAGTAACTCGGTCCCCTGCCCACCTCCGCCTTCTCCAAACTTCCAACCATCAATTCCACCAAAACACCATCACACTAAACTAAACACCCTGGATATCATCCTCATTGCTGTAGGAATCACCCTCATACTTCTCGTAGTTGTCTGCTTCGTCCTTCTTTGCTGCTTAATCAGAAAAAGATCAACTTCAACCGAGAAGCCTGGCACGGCAGGATCCGCCGAAAGAGGTGAGAAGCCGGGGCCCGGCGCTGGGGCTGAAACGGAATCCGGCGGCGATATCGGAGGGAAGCTAGTTCACTTAGATGGGCCACTGGCGTTCACCGCCGACGATCTCTTGTGTGCGACAGCGGAAATAATGGGGAAAAGCACGTACGGGACGATGTACAAGGCGACGCTGGAGGATGGAAGCCAAGTTGCAGTAAAGAGACTTCGAGAGAGGATTGCGAGGAACCAGAAAGAGTTCGAAACAGAGGTAAACGTTCTGGGAAAGATCAGGCATCCTAATTTGCTAGCTCTCAGAGCTTACTATGTTGGCCCCAAAGGAGAAAAGCTCCTCGTGTTTGATTTCATGCCCAAAGGAAATCTTTCATCTTTTCTCCACGGTAAGCTCAAATCTTAACCCAAAAAAAAAAAGTTTTGATAATGATAATTTCTTATATATTTCCACTGCCATTGCAGCACGAGGACCAGAAACCACCATAGATTGGTTGATGAGGATGAAGATAGCAATGGGCGCCGCCCGCGGCTTGCGGCACCTCCACGTCGAAGCAAAGATCGTCCATGGAAATCTCACAAGCGGCAACATACTTCTAGACGAAAACACAACTGCAAAGATAGCAGATTTCGGCCTCTCCCGTCTCATGACAGCGGCCGCGAACTCTAATGTCATAGCCGCAGCCGGAGCTCTTGGATACCGAGCGCCGGAGCTGTCGAAGCTGAAGAAGGCGAGCACGAAAACAGATGTGTATAGTCTCGGCGTGATAATACTGGAGCTGTTAACGGGGAAGTCGCCTGCTGAGCCGACCAATGGAATGGAGCTGCCGCAGTGGGTGGCGTCGGTGGTAAAGGAGGAGTGGACGAACGAAGTGTTTGATGTGGAGATTATGAAGGATGCCGCGGCTGGGGATGAGTTGCTGGATACATTGAAGTTGGCATTGCATTGTGTTGATCCGTCGCCGGCGGCGAGGCCTGAGGTAGAGCAGGTGATGAGGAAGATGGAGGAGATTATACCGGAGCTGTCGGACGCAGGGAGGGAAACAGAGGAAGGTGGCCCTGGGGGAGAAGTAGGTGCATCTACATCTAGGGGAAAGTGATGGAGATGCAGTTGTTCAGACGATCGAATTCTGGCAGTTTATTTTTAATTATTATTTTATCATTTAATTTAGCGGGTTCTGTATATAAGCTAAGGGGGTTTAAGATTTTTAGCTGCTCATCCTCTTGGGTGAAGATTTTTTTGTGCATGATTATTTTAGGAGTGGTGGAGCAGAAATTTTTTCTTGTAGGAACGCAGATTTATGGAATTTTTAAATTAGGTTGATTCAGTGCAGGCATCAAAATTCTTCATGTAGAGATTGCTCCAAAAAATAATAATAAATAAATTATCATAAATATTGTAACAAAGGAATAAAAAAAAGGAGTAAAAAAAAGTTTTTATTCAAATTTATGTTCATTTTTGAATTAATATGATGAACATATTTTCAATTGGTTAAATATTCCTCAAAATAATTTTTATAGCAAAATACTTTCAATTGAAGTATGAGAGAGAATTCTTTATCTTCAAACAACCATTTCAATATATTATAATTCAAACTAAACTCTTCTTCGCACATCTCTTTTGCAAGCCTCATTGCTCGATCGATTGAATGACAACCCGTCTCTCTTAATGTTCTACTCTCGTTCTCATATGAATCATTCCATAAGTTTTAAAGCCTTTAAGAGTCTCTAGCCTCATGTTGAGTCGAGCTTTACACTTTGGACTATATTAGAGTTTAACCAACAGGAGCACTAGACTATCTCCCAATCAAATGTTAGCCACCCCTACTAGAATATCTTCACTAAAAGCTCTAGGAAGGGGCCATCCATTGTTTCCCCATACGTACATCATATCATCTATCTAGTGTAACATGTGAGCAATCTACTACTCTATGCCTAGAATGACCATATTTGAATAATTGCCCTATCATTATGGAATATTGGCACAAATGTCTCCGTCCATAAGTTGGAAAGTTGGACATATAGGTACAATGCTTATAGAACTAATTGAATTGCCTACATGTCTGATTGGTAGATTATATGAGGTTCTGTAATTGATCCTTTTCTGGAATATCTCGACATGAATCTACTATTAGGATCATCCATTGTCTCCCCATATGTACCTCATATCATCTATTTAGCATAACCTGTGATCAATCTACTACTCTATGCCTAGAATGACCACTTTTGAATAATTGCCCTATCATTATGGAATATTGGCACAAATGTCTCCGTTCATAAGTTGGAAAGTTGGACATATAGGTACACTGCTTATAGAACTAATTGAATTGCCTACATGGCTGATTGGTAGATTATATGAGGTTTTGTAATTGGTCCTTTTATGGAATATCTCGACATGAATCTACAATTATTCCAACTTAAACAACTTCTAAAAGTGTCACCCCTAAATCTTTTCTTTCTAGCTATCTAATGCTATTGAGTTACTGTTAAATCGTTTTCCATTAATCGTACCCTCTTTACCAATTTAGATAAAAAATTTGGAATGAAACTAGTGGTTGTTTCAGATTGCCTTTGAGTCCTCTAAAAACTCTATAACATTTTTTTTCTTCAAAAGCACTAACAAGAAATGGAGTGCACCTAGCAAGTGTAATAAATTTTGCCTCATATTGCATTGTTGTATCGTTATATTACACTAGACTTTCATTTGTTATCTAGTAGAACGAGGTGCAAACTATTCGTTGTAGGTATCAATAAACTCCTCCAAAGAAATAAAAGCATTTGGTTTATCTTAGAAGTTCTCTCTTTATTGTCCCAACCACCATCATTCTGCTTCTCCATCTAATATAAATACTAGTAAAGGCACCTTATGACCCTTTGGACATTGCATCCCATCAAAAGTCTTCTTCAACCTCATCAACATTTTTTTCCATGCATGAGGTTCCATAACACCTTAAAATCTAAGAGCCTTCAATCTTAGAAACATTTGTAAATTAGTTTCTACTTCCTCTATTATGATAGTAGACATCCAGTTATATGCCTCACCAATTAATTGAGCAACTAAACCAGCAAACTGCGATATAAAATTGGATCTCATTGCTCTTAATGTACTCTACACTAGCAAATTTTATCTGGAACTTCACCTTTCAATCACATTTTGCTCTTAGAAATTCATTATTTTTTCATAGAATTCACAGTTTTAAATGATCACATTAAGATGGAAAAAGAAAAAGGAATAAACATCTTAAGCTACTCTGGTTATACCACCCTTTTATAGATATGTGTAATGGATCTATAATAATCAATTCCTCCAAACTATTACTCTGATACCATAATTACACTATCACAACCCAACCTAATAGAGCTCATATACTAAATGAGTTACATCATATAGGATCATAATAAGATAGTTCTTATCATCTATTTGGAAGATTTTTTTCATTGTATTTATTAATAGAAATATATAACAATTAATCATCAACTTAATCATAAAAAATAACTCATCAATAATTGCTTTCATCACAGAATGCTATATAATCAAAATGCCATAAAACTATAATCATGGCATAGAATCATTAGAGATACATCATGATTTCCAAAATATATCTAAAAATAGAAAGCATACCTAACACCTAAAACTTTAAACCTCTACATACTTGACATGCTCCTTTTCCTTTCCCTGGCCTAAAATTAACGCAAGCAAAAAGAGCAATCATTAGAAAATCATGTCTTAGTAAGCTACACAAAGTCTAACCACATTCTTAATAATAAATAAAATAATAAATAAACAAAATTTTCTATCATCATAGAATTAGTGAAATATTAAAACTTTCCTAATTGGCCCAACATATGAAAGTCAAAGGCCCCCCAATATAGGCATTCTTTCTCTAAAAATCCTCATTTCTCTCTATCTAGTGGATCCAATAGTGAGGATTGAGTTTGATTGTGGAATTTGATATTTGTAAAAATTTAGAACACAACATTGTAATGCTCGAAGGCCCATCACCATAGTGCCCTTAGAAAACCCTAAACCCTATTTAAAATACATAGAGCAAAATGTCATAATGCTTAGAATCAATGCAATAGTGCTCAAATATAGAGAACCCAACAACTTAGTTCCAAGAACCTAGTGTTATAGTGCTCCCCAAAAACCTCTTATTCTACCCAAAAATAGAGAAGTTAGCACCATAGTGCCTAAAAAGCTATGCCAATGTACTTTTAAATAATTTTCACACACATACAAATGTTTACATGAAAGACCCTTAGGATAATTTTAAATAGAAAATAATATAAAAAATTTACGAAAAAATAAGACATGAAAATATCAAACATGCTAATCTTTCCAGATTAATCAAGGTCATCATAGGTTACAAATTACTATTATAGTGGTCCTTAGATCTAATTATATCCTCTATCCACAATTCCTTGACTACTATCCTCCAACCACTATCACTTAATTATTTTCTCCTGAAATCATCAACCAACTATAATGAAAGTACGAGATGCGTCAAGAGGGGGGTGAATTAGATATTTGAAAATCTTCTTTAACAAAAAGAAAAATCTTTTTATAACTTGATGCAGAAGCAAATTACATTCACAATAAAAAGATAAAATTATCAATTTCACCCATGCAGTCAATCACAACAAAAATAAATGTGAAAATAAAGTACATAAATAATAAAGGAAAGAACACACCATATTTATAATGGTTTGGTCAAATCTTGACCTATGTCCACTCCCTGGAGGCATCATCTAAGTATTGCACTAAACCTTTAGTGACTCTCCTTTAGCCCCCACAACTAGGTAGATAAGCCCTTACAAAATCACTTTCACTTTCTCCGGTGCGGCGGAGGAGATAGGTCATTTGACTCTAAAGAGATCTTCTTCTTTACAAAACTTCCCTAAATATAAACCTTGAATTTGATGGTACTGAGGTGCAAGCTTGCCAGAGCAACTATGTGAAATCCCCTCCACACTCTCTTGAAATCAAGTCCAAGAATCTTCTTCCTCTCTCAAACTCCACCCATTCCTCTCTCCCTTTCAAGTCCTCTCTTCAAGTTTTCTCCAAAATAATGAAGACACTATGGCTGTCAAAGACTCTTACAATGTCTTATGAGAAAGCTTAAATAGAGGGCTTCAAAAAATCATAAAAAATCATTTTAGCCATTGTTGAACTCATTTTTGTATGAGGTCACTCTTGATTCCTCCCTCAGCTCTAGATTCTAGGATCTTCCTAGTTCCTAGTCCCTAGGTCCAGTCCAGACCTTAAACTCAATCCAAACCTAGAATCCTTAGGCTATAGACTTAGGTCCTAAAGCCCCTTCTAGGTGATTTTTCCATCACCTTGAAACCCAATCAATTGACATCTCATTCAGGGTATATCAATTTCATATTGATGTGATATGTCTCTGGTGTCAACCCTCCAGATTTGGACTCATTTGGAGGACTCTAACCCTAGAAACTTGATAAAAATCCAAAGGCTATGAAACCTTCAAATATTTACAGTCTATGTCACTGGACATTCCACCTAGTGGAATTTGACCTTTGAGCCTTCCTCAAACCCTTTGATCACCTTTAATGCCTTGATATTGATTTGTCGAACAATAGTCTGCATCTTTTCAGACTTAATTTGACCCAGAATTGACTCAAGGCCAAAATGACCAAAATGCCCTTTAAGGGAATTTTTGGACTTTTGGCCTAGGCTTGACTTGATTTGATCATCAATCTTTGAAACCTCTCTCAAGTATTTCCAATTGACCTCTAGAACTCCTTTGACCCAACTCCTAACCCTGGGTCAACTTGGTTGACCAAGTCAACCAAGTTTGACCAAATGGCCCGTACACCCCTTTTATCCAAACTCATGGACCAAGACCATTTCAAATCCATTGGAACCCAAGGGATGACCCTTTGGGCACCAAAGAGACCCCTCTTGGAGATCCAAGTCTTGGGCTCACTTGGGTTAGCCTTTTGGCTTGACCCAAGTGACTAAAGAGAGGTCTCCCTTGAGCCATCTCTCAACCTCAATAAAATTGAATCCATATCAAGGTGTCATTGGGTCCCCCTTGACCCAATGCACCTCCCTTGACCAGCCCAGCCTCTAGACCCACTTGGGTCAAGAGTTAGGCTAACCCAAAGTGGCCAAAACCACTTGGGATTGGGCCAACTCTTATCCTAAGTCAAATTGAACTTAACCAATGCTCCCATTGGGTCCCCCTTGACCCAATACATCTTCCTTGACTAGCCCAGCCTCTAGACCCACTTGGGTCAAGGGTTAGGCTAACCCAAAGTGGCCAAAACCACTTGGGATTGAGTCAATTCTTGCCCTAA